TGATTTCTTAAACGGTCTAGGGGTTTGACAGTCAAGGTAACCAGAGTCTCCGGAGTTGTCTTTGGCTTAGACGTTAAAACCTGTTGCAAGCAGTAATGTCAAATAATGCTGCTCTTCTCTTTATATCAGCAGTGTGGTGGAAGAGACCTTTCCAGAAAGTAGTTGATCTGATTCGATTCATTAAGCTTTAAATTAATTGTGATGTACTAATCCAGGGTTGAGAGCCATACAAATTAGGTCAGTTTAAAGATTGTGTGAGAAAATGGGATAATATCCTCAGGGCTGTCTTTTAGAACAGGAAGTCTCCTGAAGGCAACTGATGTTGTCAGTTCTTCCACTCCAGAATTCTGATTATATTTCTCTTTGCCTGATCAAGAGCTTTGATCTGCTTTTGTCTGGGCTTGCTTTCTGCCCAGAATCATCTGTAAGGTATGACAAGATACAGCAATAGTAATCCTGTTGGAGAAGGTAAAATTGTACAAAAAGCACACTTATTTCCAGATATGCTTCAATCCTTCAATCCTTCAATCCCAAGTATGGGCTTCATTCACTTTCTTGCATGGATGCTGCAGTGTGTTCTGGGTTGAGCACCTTTACAATAGTCTCTAGTAAGAAATATCCAAGCTATTCATAGGTGTATCTTGCATCGCCTTTCTTATGTGGTTGATCATACAGCTTTTGAAGTTACTGTACATGCTAAAGCAGGTATTCCAGGATGTCAGGGTCTGGACTCAACTCAGGCTTCACTTTTGCTATCTTTGCCCTTCACAAATAGAGAATTCCTCAGTAAGATTGGAATCTTACAAACTTACTACAGTTTCTAAAGGGTCTATTTGTGACACAGTGTTAAAGGTGGGGACTTGCTAAGCACAGGTAAAGATGTATGTAATTCAGGTACGTGTGTTCCGAGTGCAGCTTTGACATTTTGTGGTACCAATGTGGGCCTCAAAATTGACTTGCGGGATGTTCTGGCATGTTGAAAATGAGTGTGCAGTTGTGTGATTCAGTTAAAAGATTACTTTTTATTTTGTTTGTGCTGATAAATTACATGAGTATGAATTCTATCGTTGGGTTTATCTTTGGGGAATGAATAGAAATTCTGACATCCATAATTTCTCTCTTTGAGATCATAAAGTTCAGACCTCTGATATACTTCTTTCTTCTCTGGTATATAATACAAAATCTGACCCTATGAGAATCAACAAAAATCTGCTTAAATTGGTCTCTTTGTATTTTGAAATTTGAGCATGAAGGGTATTTTTTTTCAAGGCAGTATTCAGAATTACTAATACTTTACTGTGGTAAATTTTATATGAAGGAATTTTAAAATCTCTATGTACTATTTATTGCACTGATGTTGCACTACATTTACATATGTTTTGCAGTTTTCAGGTGAGAAGTCAGAGATCAAATACATTTAGCTGGAGGTTCTTCTGTTGATTCCAGACAACTGCAAATAAAATCAGTAGTGGAGTTGTTACTATCCAGATTATTTCCCCACTTAAAGACAAAGGGAGGTACTCAAATTACCACTGTTTTGAGAGTCATGTAAGATCCTTTTTTTAATATTGTACCAGTCATTCACTGATTTACAGCCAGAGCTGAGGGGGCTTTGGCCCCTTCAGTAGTATGGTTTAGTGTAACGTGCATGTTCCAGGTCATGCACTGCAAGAGGGACCCTGTGGCTACGCAGTATCCCAGTCCAGATCATAACTGCATCTGGAATTGTAAGCTAACTTCAGTAGACACTGCTAGGTCTTGTAGTTGGTAATACAGGTAATGTAGTATTTGTATTCAATGCTGCTTTGTTTCTGCATGAAAAGTTCGTAACCTTCCTAGTTTTGTTTTTTTTTTTTTCTTCCATGTTTAAGGGCAAAACTTTATTTTAGTTAATTGGGAGCAATAAGCATTGGTGATAGTGTATTCTGAGTTGGTTTTTTTTTTGCAGTAGCCTGATTTTTCAAAGACAGTGTCAAACATTAATATCTTTAAAGACTCAGTTATTTTACTGGAGCGTTTCATTAAACATTGCATCTAGATTGTTGATTGAAGAGCTCTGTTTCACAAAATTTGGTGAACACTAAAGGCTATCTGCTTTTTTTTTTTCCACAAAATATGTTACAAAGCATACTTTCCTATCATTGGCATGCTAAAATGTGTACTTGAATTGTAGTTTTAGTTTGCTGAAATATTGCATTGCGTTTTTAAATTAAAAGCTGGATAGTATTAAATCTTCCTAATAAGCAAGCCTCTCTTCCACTTAATTTGTGCTTTTGTTGCGGCTAACAAATAATTTGCTGTATGGGTTTTTCTGTACACCATTGATAGAATATATAAGCTTGTCATCGTAGTGTGCTGGAAATGCTACACTCAAATCAAGTGTTCCTTTCTGGTTTTGTATATCCTCACCTGCTCCTCACTGTAAATCATTGAGATGTCAAGAGCAGTGATTAATTAAGCTGCACGTGCAAGTGCTTTTTTTTTCACCTGTCAAGTAGGAAGAAAACTTACTATAGTGAATTGTGTGATGCTGTTTAATTCATTTCTTTTTATCCCAAGCTCTGAGGTTTGCAGAAATATTTTACAGTCTAATTTTCGTTAACATTTCTGTATTGGTAATGTGACATGATTTGGGAGCTATGACTGTCCCAAATTATACCTCAGGAAGGATTCTATTTAAAGCTCTGGGAACCTAAATAATTGTATTCTTGAGGCTGCATGTGCTTTTATCTCACACTAGTAAAATTGCTTTAAACTGGCTTCTTATTTAAACAAACCAACTAATAGTACATAACTACCTATCAATTTCTTATTTATGTGTATGTATTGTAATATATATGTAATTTTATTGGAATCTGAAAAGCTTGGATGTTTTTCACACTCTTTGGGGCAAACAATGAAATTAAATTGTATAGTGATCTTAATCTATTATTAAAAGGGCCTGGAAAGGAAGATTACAAGGTAGATTCAGGTTTTGAATCAGTTTTGCCATTGGTTTAGCAGCGGGTGGGCAGGCAGATGCCTGCTCAGAGTAGAACCTATTGCCATTTTTCACCATTGATAGAGTAGCCTTTCAGAGTCAATGAGCTCTGTCAATGTGAGCTTGTCAAGGCTACAACTTCATAGACCTGAGAGGCGGTTTGAGAGGTCAGCCCTTTTCAGGTTTGCTGTGATGCAAATGAACTTTAATGCTTAAACAACTATTGGAATTTTTATGTCTGCTCCTTGTTCTTTTTTCTTCACAAAGTCATTGACGAGACATTCAGTGCTTTTTAAATTGGAAGTTGCATTGTGCTAAAGACCTAGTACAGATTTACGGAGGGCTGAAAGCAGTTAGATCATGTTCTTTTCATGGTGCGATTAGAATCAAATCGATTTCCCTACAGCCTTCAGCATTCAGATGGCAATTTTAACAAAGCTTGGGGGCTAGACAAGGGACAAAACGACTGAACTGAATGTTAATTACACTCTGCAGCCTTATTTTCTTTTGATTTGGAGCTGACTGGCAACTAAATTAACAAAAGTGTGACCATAACTGCTGCCCTATTTTCATTTAAAAGGAGAGCAGACTCTAAAAGGCTATCTTTACAAAGAAACAAGTGAGGTCTACTGATTATTGTTAAAGGGCACTGTCTTTAAAAACATAATAATAACAATAACCCCCAAAATACTCAGTCCCCAATTGATGTGATGAATTAGTCACTGGCACATCCACCTTGTGATAATTCCTTGACTCGTGCTTTTTAAAATAAAACATAATAAAAATTCAGTGTAATGATTACTCATAGGTAGCAATGATCTAATTTTTTAATCATGTGACCACAGTACATGCTTAGATATGCTTCCCCACAACGCTTCGGTATTAAACTAGAGAGAAACTGATGTTTGAGAACCAAGTTGGTAATATTTAGTGGGAAATGATTAATTTGTTGTCTGAGTTTTATTTTACCCAAACATCCTTATTTCTCATGACAGCATTTAGTTTGATTTGTTAAGGTTCATTTACAGTACTTGTATTTTGTACTAATAACAGCAAGATGCTTTCTCATCCCTTCCCCTCACCCCTCTCTGCCTTGTAAGGAAGCTGCAGCTGCACTAAGTTGTATTTGATCCTTGTCATTGCTCTGTCCTTTTGCACCTGCAGCTCTGTTGGTCTCATCTTAACACCTGGCACCATGAATTATCCTCTTTTTATTCATAGCCAGTAGCAAATCCCATTTAGAGCTAAGCAGTATATATTCTGGCAGTCAAATGACCATGTCAGTATGTATTTCTTAAATGTAAATATAACTGAATAATTATATTCAAAATGCTGTGAAACTTTGCAGCACTGAATGTCCTTTTAATACTGCATAATCTTGAAAAGCTCTGCAAACAGCTTTAAGGATTCTTTATATGAAGTGTCAAGTGTGGGCAACATAGGCAGTAAAACTTTGCTTTAGAATCCTAAATACTGGATTCACTTTTTATACAAAGCACAGATATAGTAATAGTTGTTTGTGTGATTTACTGGAACTTTCTGCATTTGGTTTTCAGTCTCTAAAATCTGGATATAAAAGTCACAAAAAAATCTCTTTTGTTTAGGGAATTGCATGTTTGTACTTGACCTAGAGCATTGCAAAATAGTTGGCAACATTTGTCAGTTTAGATACCAACCTTCTCAAAAGCAGTGCATTTACGCCACTGATACTAGGGGAGCAGTGGTCCTGCTTTTATACATCATTTCATAATTTCTGTGGTTTTAAAGTTGTACTGCTGTAAGAACCAGGAAGCATATACATATGAACAGTTGTTCCAGAATACTTGAAGATAGTTATTTGGGTGTTGTAAAAAGTTGTTCTTTTCTAGTTATTGTTTAATACCAGAGAAGTTTTGATAGTACTACAGACCACCCTGTACTCAGTCACTGTCCTGTACCTCTCTTTCAGACAAAAGCAGCTGCATAACAAAGTTTTTCTAAAACCAGTCAAGAGTAAAATTCTTTCTCATTTGTCTTCCAGACACGAAGATCGATTGAGAAGTTATTAGAATGGGAAAACAATAGGTTATACCACAAGGTGAGTGCCGCAGGGAGCAGCTTCGTACTGTTGAAGTTTGAATTGCACAGTATGGAAACAGATGCTTTTGTTGAACGAAAAATATGAAAGGTGGACAAATGGGCTAGTCTGTGTGCTGCAATAAAATACAGCTCATTTTTCTTCTTTTTCTTTCCTCCTTGTCTAGCTGTGCTTGCATTGGAGACTAAGCAAAAGGAAATGTGAAACGAATAACATGATGGAATATGTAAGTTAAAGGGCTGTTTTGTGAGTTTCTCTATTAAATGATCATTTATTTTGCTTCTGATCTTATTCTTTTCGTGATTATTAATCAGTAAAGGTGTCAGGAGCTTAATCGCCTGAGTGCAAGGATTTTCTACGGTTCACAGATGCATGGTTTCATGTGCAGGACTGATTTATAAAGTTATGAATGACTTGAAAACAAGGCTTCACTGTGTTCTGAAAAATAATAAATTAATTGCCAAGATAAAATAGCTTGAACATGTGCTGATGGAGTGTGAAATTTTAGATGCTGTATAAAGAATAACCACAACTTTGGTTACGCAGCAAGTCAGATATGGCTGTTTTATATAACGCTAATCAAGTCTAAAAGTATGGAAGAAGACCTTTCAACTAAGCTGTTGGAGCTTAAGAAACTTTTAGCCTTTTTAAATTTTAACTGCCCCTTACCTCAACTGTCTTGAAAGTATCTTTATCTCTAAGCTGTGTCACTAAAATATTTTTAAATCAGTCTCTGGAGGTTTAATTTACTCCAGTCTTTGGCTGAAACTCCATAAGCACATCTTGGAAATATACAGTGAGAATATACTGTTTAAAATGAATGATGTCCAGTGTGGGATTTCACTTTGTGTAGCTTACAACCTTCTTTTTCTTTTTTGGTGCTGCTTTTATTTCAATTTTCAAAATATCTTGGAGGTACATAGAATAAGATGAAATTAAGCTGCTAAAATGTGAGAAGCATCAGAATTTGCATACTTTTTAATGCTCTAGGAAGTAGGTGATAGGAAGGGTTAACCTGTTAAAAAGAAAGATTACTATTTGAGAAATGTCTGCTGTATTAGTTCTAACATATCTGTGGTCTTTATCATGCATATGAAATTTTTAAAAGTGATTAAGCAGTTGGAAAAGATATTAAAAGGATAATTAGTATTCCTCCTTTTCCTGTTTGTAAATTAGATCTTATTTCTAGCCCGAAACATAAGATCTTTAAAGTGCTTTTTCACAGAATGACTCTATAAGTAGATTTTTTTTTTTGTACCATATATTCTACAATTTTGTTGTTGTTTAGATCTAAGAGATGTGGCTGAAAATGGAATAAAGCAAATTTCAGAAAGTATATTTGAACTTTACCTGAATGAAGTGTTTTGAGGTGTTTTTTTTTATTTCACTAAAAATTTTGTTTTCCTACAGGAAGACATTGTCACACCCAGTGTTTTGCAGATTCAGTTGAAAAAGACATGTACAATGCTAATTTGTAAACACTATAGCCCAGCAACCTTTACAGATGAATATTAACTCTGTTAAATACAATCTAAAATAAGTTTTACATGACCTGTTTACATTAATATGTAGTCATAAGCATGTAGTTTCACAGGCTAAAGACTGAAGATTTTATTTTCAATTTGTGAAATGTTTAATATGTTATCTCCAGATATATATAAAGAGAGAATTTTTACAAAGCCTCTCTACCATTTTTTTCATTTTCAGGGAACTGATTTGCTGGTCTCTTGTCCCTAATGTTGTGTTTATGATTTAATTTTAAGTAATATGTATCCTTTTTTCCAAAGCAGATGATTTAAATTAGATTCTTTTACCCAAAACTTGGTGCTTTTCCAGCTTGAGGTTCAAAATCCACTGTTGTAGAAGCTAAATTAAATAAATAATTAAATAGACAAAACCACAATAGCCTTATGTCTTTGGCATAAACACAGAGTTCCAGCTTTGGGTCTTTGCTCCCTTTTTGAAACCCTGTCTGAATATCAGTAGCCCTGGAATTTGAAGCATTCACTGGTTGACTCATGTCAGGGCTCAGTGGATTTTGAGCAGTTTACATCACTTCTGAATAGCTCTTAAAAGTAAATTTATACATCTGATTTTGATATTATTTTGAATCTTTGCCTTAGACATAAAATCAGAGACTTCTTTTCTGATGTTCAGTATGCTATCAGAGATAGAAGTGGTTACTCTCTAAGCAGTCAAGTTGTGTTCTCATTTACAATCAAAAGCATTTAGATTTTTTTTTTTTAACTTCTTAGAAAGGCAAGTTCCCCTTAAAAGTAAATAAAATCCTTAGTTATGTTACTGGGTGCATTTATTTGTTTATGAATACAATCATGCTACTGTGTAATGATTGTTATTTCTGAAGAAAGTGCACAAGTGAATAATTCCCTTAAGCTTTCTGTTTAAAGTAAGATGAATGCTTGGATTGTATTCTGGAGTGTACACTACCATGTGTTCCTAGCTCAGAAACACCTAGTTTAAATTTAAATAGGGGCCATAAGAATAATCACGCAAAAGCATTAGGCAGGTTTCTTTTAACTACTTGCAGATTCATTAGATACGGGAGCTTTGCAAAGGTTGATACACCTTTCTATCTGTGCAAGTTTTGAACGACAAATATAATTTAGAATACTATACTAAGTGGAAAAAATTTTAAGTAAAGGGAATTGAATGTGTAATTTAAAAATAACTTTGCATACATTGCGCCTTCCGATTTTTTTAATGAATGTTTATCTCTTTCATAATATTTTCCTAATAAAGTGAATGAATTATAATAAAGAATAGTTATGTAATAGGGTATTTCAGTTTGTTTAGATGTTACGTGTTGGTAAGCATACCTTTCCAGTTGAATTTAAGTGATCTCTGATCATCGTCATAAGTTGATGTACTTGGGGAAAAAAAGAAGGCATATGAATTATCGTTGTGATAGATAATCAGATTGCTGCCATCTTCCATCTAATACATGTTTGTTTTCTTTTTATGCAGGTCATCCTTATAGAATTTTTACCAAAGACGCCGATTTTTCGACCAGATTAATGTTTGATTTATTTATAGAGACTTACTCAAGTATGTTGTCTTTCCAATGGTGCCTTGCTTGGTGCTCTCCTGGTGGTAACATAGATTGGTTCTACAGAATCTTGTGGTGTTGTCATTCTTTTTTTGTTTGTTTGTTTGTGTTTTTTTTTTTGTTGGATTTCTTTTTTTCACTAAGAGCATGTTCCAAGTGCATTTGGTCAAACTCTGCAAAGGAATTTCACACAAATGTTAACTGCTACTTAAGTTATTGTTACTTTTACTACTTCAGTTTATTAGTGTATCTTGATTTTCAAAGACTCTTTTATATGTGTGTGCGCGCGCGTGTACATATATATATATATATATAAAACTAAATACACGGCTGAAAATGGTATACAAGCGAGCAGGTATTTTTTTATCCCAAAATGACACAACTGATTGACTGTACATTACATAAGTCCTTTTAATCCTTCATTTACATGCTGAAATACCTTCCGAGATCTTCCTAAACTTTTGTCAGTGACTAGTCAATTGTAAATATTTTTATTTCTTTTTGGGATATTGGCTAGCCTCTTCCAACAAAAGAAGGAGATAAAGTTCTTTTTGGAACTGTGCTTTTTGGAACCCAAATGTCATTGCATTAGTAGAAATCTTTGTGCTTTTCATGATGAAGTCTAGTCAGCTGGTTCTGAAAAAGTTCTAATTTAAAGGGTTTGGTTTTTTGTTTGGTTTTTTTTTGTTCGTTTGTTTGTTTTTTTAAACCCCAACAAACTAGAATTATTTCACTTAGACTACAAGAATTGCTGAGAGACTTGCATGCGTCTGGTTAGTAGAACTCAAGATCACAAAAGCATATTGGTATTACAATTTATAATGTAGCTGTTTTAATTCAAGATAATGCCATGTATCAGCTTTGTTCTAACTGTTTACCAGATCCTGTTCACAGAGGTGTAGGAGGACTTGTTTTACTAGAAAATATTGTCCAAGAGGACCTTTCAGGGTTTTTATGTTTGTTTGTTTGTTTTAAAGTCACATAAAAGGAAAAGATTATTGAAGAAATATTGAATACCATTCCAGATGCAAATGCAGATGCCATGTATTAAAAATAATCAAAGCAGGGTACACTGGGCAACAGTGTAAAGTTTAAATGTGTTAGATAATTATTTATTGCACCCTTGCTTCTGCTCATTTTGGTTTACAAATATTATTTTCTGCATAAGACTTTTTTTTTTTTTTAACTGGATATATGATGTATGCTTGGGTCAGGCCAGTTGTATTTTCATTTCTTCTACTTGTATCTTAGTTGTACATATCTTCACATATAATTTTTTTTTTAATTGCAACTCAATCATGTTTTTAATTTCCTTTAGGTATCTAAAATTACTGTATGTGAACATTAATGTAAGTTAAGATGTTCCTTGTACAGTTGTGGTAGCAAGCAATAATGTGAATATATGAAAAAAACAAATATACCCTGCTTAATATTTGTATGAATGAAAAGTTGATACCACTACAAGAATAGTCTTCTCTTTTTAATCTTTTAAATACAAGTTTTATTTCAAGGTAATATATTACAAGTACCTTGATGCTGTGAACTATTTTTCTATGTCTTCAAAATATTTATTCTCTGTAAAATATTCTCTAGTGAGTATTATATTCCTGAATTGTTGATAGTGGGAGTGGTCTAGAAAGTTACAAGTTTCCTTAAATCTAAATCTTCTGTATCTGTTCCCCAAACTCATCCTTTGCTCAGCTTTTCGTCTGTGGATTCCTGCTGTTTACTTTGAAAATAGCTCAGCTATGCTTTTCATACAAGCCTACACAAGTGTGTTTGTTTGACTTGATGGAATATGATTTTTAATTAACAGATGGCAGTTTTGTGCTGCCTCAGTCTTCTGCATCCCACAGCAGTTTCTCTCCAACTTAACTGGTTATAATGTTTTAAAACTCAATTTCAGCCTCTTCTTTAGTACAAATCTGGGTCTGCAGCACTCCTCCTCTCACTCAGAAATAATAGGTACAATCTCAGACCAGTTTCAGCCTGCAACAGGGGCCAGAAGCCTGACACTGATGGCTGTGCGGGTTGGAGGTGCAGGGGAGAGGTTGGAATTGAACAGAAATGGTAACTGGTGATAAATACTGATGACAAGAAATATATGTTGACTTCTTCAAGTATCAGTTTTCAATAAAGTAAATATTGAATTATACAAGGCCTAGATTTTATTATGAAAGTTCTCAGTTTGCTGTATAGAAAGGTTTGTGTCATGGATGCAGTTTTCCACTGATAGTTCATTGATGTGGAGGGATATGGCTTGTGCTGTGCTCATACCAGCACTGCATTCAGTGTGAAATACTCACCTGTTTACTACCCAAGCTTGCCATAATACATTCTGTGACACCACCACTACCTTTCCAGCAGTATTCCAAAATGACCTACAGTAAAGCTAGTTTGAGCATGATGTGTACTGAAACCCCAGCAGTGAACAGAGTGCAGCTTTCAGGTTTACAAAGAGTGTTTCCTTTGTAAAGCTTCTACATGAGCAGTAGTGCAGGTTAAGATCTTGTCTACTTTTGGGTGCATGTGCAGTCTTCTACTTGGTTACCAGGCATGTCTGTGTTTTAACTATGAGTTTCTCTAAGAATTCTAATAATAGTGGTCCAGAGTAGAACTCTGAGCAAGTAAAGTTAAATCCCGTAGTAAGGAGGTCAGAGTGATTGCCTCTTAAAGCATTTCTGATATTTTGTTAAGACAATATCTCTGACTTAAAGTACAAGCAGGGAACTTGAGAAACTGTGAGCATATGCAGATGAGTTTTGTTCTAAAGTGTTAACTCTCCTGGTGAGAAAGTACACTCACCTGGTAAGAATGTTAGAAAACATTTTCATAGAGTCCCTTTCTATTCATTAATTACAGTGATGGAAATTAAACTAGCAGGAATTTAAATCAACTATTTAATGCCTGCAGCAGTCATCAGGATTTTTCTTTGATATTGTTTCTTAAATACTGTATCTGTTTTGTGTGCGAGTGAGAAGAAATGCATTACCTCTTTTTTGTCCAGTTGGCGAAGAATAAAGCTGCAACAGTGTGAGCAGGACAGAAGCTATAGTAGGATTTCCAGGACACAGCCTGGAATATAAAATAAATATTACATTGCAAGAACTTGCTCAGCTTCTTGAAATTTGTTAATTCCTACAAATAGTCTTATTTCCAGTTTCCCTGAATAGTAAGAGTTAGGTACCCACTTGGTATTAATTATTTAATAGATTATGCTAATTACGTCTGTTTCACCTTTATTCTGAAAAACTAATGGTAAAGGCGTCAGTGACTCCCTGTGAAAGCTAGTTACTATTTTTTAGGTATGGTGGCCTTTAACTGGCCAATAAAGATTTCTTTCTTACTGTAATATAATAGTACTAAATTATTTTTTATCCTTCAGTGATAGGTAGGAACAAGTCCTGAGGGAGGAAGGCTTTCTGTCTGACCCTACATGAAGAATTCTTTAGAGCTCATCTGTTGTTAAACAGCTATGATTTGAAGTTTGGGATTAGCAAACTTCACTAGAAATTAAGATGTTTATGGAGATAAGTTACATGAAGTAAGTACACTTTTTGTAATAGCTCAGTAAGAGTCATCTTAATAAACTACATATGCAAATCCAAAACTTCCTGCAGTACTCAAAACCAGGTAGATTGTAAAAACTTCTTACAGTGCTTAGATATAAATTGTAATATTTAAATCAATTTGTTAAATGATGCCTTTTTGTAAACCTCAAGACCACAATGTTTAAATGTAATGCTCTATCTTGGAGATAATATAAATAATTTAGCCCTGAAGATTGTAGGGAAGAGCTTTAAAATGCAATCTGCAACTGTTCAGAAGCCAGAAGGCAAAAATAAAAAAACCCAACTTGTCTTTATTCCCTTTCCTCCACTCCCCACCCCAAAGTCTCCATTTTAAATCGGTCCCCTTGTTTTGGGAGCCCTAGCTTATGGTTTTTGAGCAGCTGGCAGTAATGCAAATTGTTCACCAAAAAAAAAACCATTTGAATTCTGAGCAGTTTAAAGAGATCACTTTAATTGAAAAGGCAAAATACTTGTTAGGCGAAGAAAATCCCTGGTTCTTTTAGGTTCTCCCAGCACTGCTGTTAAGTAATTAAAAAGAAGGATCGTGATGACCCTGCATTAGGTCAAAATTCAGATTATTTCATGTAAAGGAAATGCTCAATTAGAGAGGTCTCCGGGCCCAAAATGGCTTGAATTTATAGTAGCGACTTAAGGGTAAGTGGCCCTGGCTAGTTTTGTATCTGTGACTGAATTCATTTATGTTACTCTTCAGCAACCTTGCTTATGAAAAGAAAGCATTTTAGAAGTAAGATCTGTATTTATCACCACTTGTTTGCTGTAATTTCTGTGCTGCTTCTCCCTAAAGCCATGTTGCATTTCCATCACAAACAGCTAAGTGTATAATCGTTATAATGTCTTTAATAGCCATATTGTAGGTAGAAATATTAACTTCTCAGGGACTAATAGCAAATAGGAAAATGGAGTTAATGAGCTGAATGCCTATCTGCATGAAGGCTTACTTTGCAAATGGCACCCTAGAAACCTTCTGATTGTAATATGCATGACCATTATGAATGTTATCAATGTAAAGCTATGAAAGCTCCCTTTACCCTGTATTATTAGGCTGCTGAATGTCAAAGTATGTTGGATAAGGATAAATGAAGTTTTTCTTTTTTTCACGATTTGGATAGAGTGATTATTTCTGCTGGTGCTACCTTCTTAATTCCTGTGTTTATTCTTTGTAAAGTTCTCTTTGTGGGCTGAGTGAATCAGGGAATAACGGTGTAATGAGAAAACAGCATCATTCCTTTTCTTAAGGAATTGGAAAAACTTCAAGGGGACAAGTATCTTAGAAGCAAAAAATTTCTCTACTGAAAATATCATGCATTTATTCTCCATTAGTTATAGAAATCCTTTTGGGTTGTTTTGTTGCTAACGGTATTTTGCAATTCATTAATTTTTGAACTTGATCTTTTTGCACACTGATGTTTCAGTCAGCGTGGCCTGAGTTAGAGATTGCCTTTGAAAACTGAGAAAAACCCCAACCCTGAATCCTTACAGGAAACTTCATGTATTGACACTTGTTGTGCTGGTGTGTGTATGTCCACCACATGACACCCGAGTGATACATCTTTTATAAACTCCATTTCATTGTTTCATGGAAGATGTCCTTTTAAAAATTCTTCTGCTTAGTTTACCTCATTAATACTAAGATTTATTTTCTTGAAAAAAGATTAATAAATGCTTGAATCCTAAGAATACAACAGACCATTAGGAAAGACTTAGTGAGGTAAAA